GATGATAGAAATTGTACTTGAAGCCTTCCATAAATTATGCTAAGACTGATGTCCTTGAAAACTAAGCAGTACAAAATAATTATATTCAAGCAACTGGTCAGTGGTTTTTAGGAATCTTGTCAAGTAGCCTTGTGAGCTTGCGTTCCTGTGACAGCACTTTAATAGTGAGGTTCCTTTCCATCTGTCAGACCTTTTGGAATGGGGTTTCATTTCTATAATTTCTGTAACTACAGTGTGGCCAACTCGCTCCATGCAGCTGAGTCCTCCTAAGAAGCCCAGCAGTTGCTCAGCCACTCAAGACATTCCCAACACTATGGAATCCGGAGGTTCATTACCATGTTCACAGGAGTCCACTACTGGTCTCTCTTCTGAACCAGATGAATCCATCGCCCCCCCCCCCCGGTCCTGTTTCTCTAAGGGCCGTTTTAATATTAACCTCCAATCTGTGTCATGGTCTTCCACATAATCTCTTTTCTTCAGTTTAACCTACCAAACCCTTGCATGAATGCCTCTCCCTTGCATCCTACATGCTCTGCCCATCTCATCATTATTAATTTGATCATTCTAATGAAATTTTGTGAGGAATATAAGTTAAGAAGCTTCCTATTTTCCAGTTTTCTCTAGCCTCCTATTATCTCATCTTTCTCAGTAAAGTCTAAGAAAACTAAAACCAGGGCACATCATCTGATTTGTTGTAGTCACTGCCTTAATCACAATTCCAAATATACAGTTTCACAGACTTTATAAGTAGTAACATTCCTCTTTTTGATGCAGTGAGTATTGGGTGCCAGATTGCTTCATTTACTTTGTAACCAGAAAATCTTAATTTCACAATTTAACAGATGTTCTAAAATGCAAGTGCAGATGCATACTGACAAAAGAAAAGTTAGAAAGTGTGAAGAGTTAGTACATGAAATTAATGCACATAAAATTTACACAGAAAGTCCAAGTATTGTAAGCCATTTTGATTACTGGTTTATTATCTGTGATAGTGAAATCATGTAGAGTAATGTCTGACCTCATCCTGTAAATCTTTTGGATTTCCACATTATTTTTCATATGTCTATTATACACATATGTTGCATTGTATATATAAGAATAATTGTGTGATCATAACATTTGGCAATTCATATTGTTTAAAACGTCTGTGATTCTGATGTTCACATTTTTACTTTATTGTGTAGGTGAACCTTGAATTATTGTTCTCACCATTACAGACAGGATTGCAGTTTACTCACATCTGTTAAACATCCCAGAAAGTAATGTTACCTTTTATCTGTGTAGGTAAAGTGATTTGTGTACTATAAACTAATTGTAGTTCCCTTAATTGTTTTCCACGTTAAACACCTTTGTCCAATAAAATGAAACTTATTCAGGATGGGGCTTTATTCATATTGTATTGATCCATCTTTCATATAATTTCATTATTTAATGTAATATAAGGCTTTTAATATTGTATGCAATGGAACAAAGCAGCAGTTTTCAAAGATGTGACCAATGGCGCTGGAAGTTTCAATGTCTGAGGACTGTCAGTTGATAAATATTTTAATACCAAAATCATTATGTGCCAGTTGATTTTTCACCTTTTAATAGACATTAACATGTTACTTCAGTGAGCAGGGTAACCAGTTTTGATGTTAAAAATGTAGAAAGTTATTAAATAACGATTATTCATTGATGGGGGAGGGGGTCAGGCTATAATAAAGCTTTCTCCAGTTTCTCTGTCCTACCATAAGCACTTCTCTTGTATCTGTGTGTACTCTTTCTCTGCTCTATATAAGTATATAGTTACTTATTTGCCACTATCAATTTTATGCTCTTAGAGAAACACATACCACTGTTTCCTGAAATTTGACAGTTTTTTCTCGTATTTCTGCTTTCAGACCTTTGCTTAAAGCCCTGGTATCCTGTGTTGTTACATGAACTTGGTATATTGCAGTAGGCATACACAACCTGAAAATATTTGAGATTTCAAAAGGGAATTCTTTTGGTTCATTTTATATTCCGAAGTTATGAAATGATTGATACTTCATTAAAAATAATAAAGTTTCATGAATTAATCAATTATATGTGGCATTCTTAATGTAAACATGTATCTGGTATGTGACACTGTGTTAGTAGATCAGATTATCTGCGACTTAACTTTGCACCTACTGTAATCCACTCATGTTATGAATAGGTGAGGACAAAGAAATTCTGAACTTTGTGCTGAAACAATTCATATATCACCTACATGCCAATTATAATATGCTGAATTTATTTCTTTTGATGTATAGAGCATGTTAATTGATATTTGGATGCTTGTATTATCCTGTCCAATGCCAGTACATTCATGGGACCAAAGGACAGTTTCAGTCTGTATTCCTCCATTGCCATGTTTATTTCTACTGGTCTTGTATTAGTGATTTTTAATGTACATTAGCACACGTATAATAGATAAATATATTTTAAATATGCATATGCTACTTTTCTTAATTTATGTTAGACCAAGGGTCAACAAATTTTTAATTAATAAGACATATATTCTGTAATAATATACAGCTTTGTCTGTTTATTCATAAGATTTTGTAAGAGTATATTCTATATTTATACAAATTTTTAATGTTGATGAATGTGTTGCTGCACTTAAAAGATTTGACAAGTCTGTGGCTGTTTGTAAAGAGTGTAAAAACAGTGAATGAAGTGAGTGAAGAACATGATGTATTTATATGTTTATATTTGTGTTTTGATTCTCAAAACCACAATCCCTTTAACATTGTTATTAAATATAGGATATATATATAAGAAGGTTATGATAGTATATGATTTTTTATCCTCATTATCCATTAATGTTTCCACCAGGAGAGCCATCTTATACAAAGACTTCTCCATTCTTCTCAGTTCTGTAAGTTTTCCTCTTGTTTCTAGTAGCCACTCTTTCCCGACACTGTTTTGTGTATCTGTCCTCCATAGATCTTGCATAATATAATACCATTATCATTTATATGCTGTCAAAGAGCATTTACACTTAATGACTGTGCATACTACTGTATCCTTAATTTGACCAACTCTTCGTATTGTTTCTACATTAATATTTTACCAGAAATTAAATTTTATCTACTGTAGATAGTTTAATATTCAACAGGAACTCACCTTGTAATATGCTCATATATTTCTTAGTTTGTGTCGAAGGTTCTACTCAGTGTGTAAGAATAACAAAATTAAAAGAACATGTTTTGAAAGTTCCATTTATTTCATTATGAAATGAATCATTTGTACTGAATGATGAACTTAATTTGAAATCAATACAGGGTGCAGGAAGTGTGGCTGATGTTGCATGCCTGAAGCCCAATGGACTATGTGCCATGGCTTTTGCCACTACATAAATATGAAATATGCTGACCTGTTATCAATTACTTATCTCTCTGATTTTAAATTCGTTGCTGTTGCACTTAAGTGTACATATTCAGCTCTGATTTTGTACTATCTAACTTCACGGAGCTGAGCCCTTCTTGAGAAGCCACCAGTTGTGTAGCTACTCAAAAACTTCCCCAACATTTTATGGAACTGGTTCATTGTCATGTTCATAAGAGCGCAGTGGTCCCTATCCTGAGCCAGATCAATCCACTACATGCTATCCCATCCTATCTCTCTGAGATCCATTTTAATATTATCTGCCCACCTAGGCCTTGGTCTTCCTAGTGGTCTCTTTCCTTCAAGCTTTGCCACCAATGTACTATATACATTCCTCTTATCCCACATTCGTGCTACATGCCCTGCCCACCTCATCCACCTTAACTTGACCATTCTAATTATACTTGAAGAAGAGTACAAGTTCTGAAGATCCTCATTATGCAGGTCTCTCCGACCTCCTGTCACTTCATCTCTTTTCAGTCCAAATATTCTCCTCAACACCCTGTTCTCAAACACCCTCAGTCTATGTTCCTCCCTTAATGTCAGAGACCAAGTTTCACGCCCATACAGAGCCAGAGGCAAAATTATAGCTTTTTATATTCTAATTTTTGTGTTTTTGGACAGCAGACAAGAAGACAAAAGGTTCTGGACTGAATGGTAGCAAACATTACCCGAGTTTAATTTCCTCCTGAATCAGGTTTTGATTTGTTATCGTCGTTCCCAAACAGTGCCACGTTTTCAAAACATCTGTTACCTATCGTTTTATCATGATTATGCCCAGCATTTTGGCGTCGAGACTGGTGTAGTTACTATGTTGAAATCCGTTGCCAGGATACGACTAGTGGAGACTGAGAACCGTAATGTGTTTGTAACGGTGTCGAGATCAGCGGTAGCGGCGTGTCACACTCGTAACTGCCTGTAGTTCCGAGTGGTGTGCATGAGGTGTTATTAAATGCAATCCATATCTCATCTAACAGTCACACCTACACGTGACAATATTCTGAAGCATGTGGGTATCTGATCCACATTAGCAGACTACTACATCTTGTCGTGTTCTCTCGCTCAGATCCATATATTCATCACAGTGCCTTGTTCCTGGTCACCAGCAATCTACATTCTCCCTTCAAGAGATGGAGACGAAAATTCACATCCATATCAGTTTACTCGATACGGCCGGTAAACAAAATTTACCCTATACAGAGAGGAGTATAATTAGAATGATCAAGTCAAGGAGGACGAGGTGGGCTGGGCATGTAGCACGAATGGAGGAAACGAGGGATGCGTATAGGATATTGGTGGGAAAGCCAGAAGGAAAGAGACCACTGGGAAACCAAGGCGTAGGTGGGTGGACAATATTAAAATGGATCTTAGAGAAATGGGATGGATAGGATTGATCTGGCTCAGGATAGGGACCAGTGGAGGGCTCTTGTGAACACGGTAATGAACCTTCGGGTTCCATAAAACGCTAGGGAATTTTAACATCCCCAAACCCTTGTAAAAAATACAGACTCGGAAAAGACACATTTCCTCGCCCACAGCAACCTCCCTCTGTCATATCGATCTGGTAGTAGCAGTGTACTGGCGCCACATAGCGACGCTTCCATACTGCGACGCGAAACGCCAACATTGTGCGATTGACCGCCACCCTGTTCGGCAGCATGGTGACTCGACGCTCCACTCTCCTGTTTTTGGTCGCGATCTTCGCGGCTGAACTCACAACCGCCGCATCCAGGGCCGTAAGTACATCCTAAGTGCCAAAAAGTAGTATCAAACAGCTCCACACTCTGAATAGCATGTCAGACAACGCAAACGGATTCAGAAAAATAAGAAATATCCGCCCATATCAGTTGTACTTATGCCATTCTGGGTGAATGAGTACTGCTGAAATTTTTTTTTCTTGGCACTACAGCCCCAGTGGGCCTAGGCCTACCTCCATGAACTCCGTTCACTTCGGTTTTTCTATATCTTACACATTCGGTAGGACTCCTTGGGTGAGTGACCAGCTCGTCGCAAGGCCTCTACATGTAGACAAACACAGAAAAACGCACACAAACATCCATGCCCTGAGTGGGAATCGAACCCACGATCCCGGCTTCCGAGCGAAGGAAGACAGTGCATGCCTTAGACCGCTCGGCTACCGTGACCGGAAATAAGTCTTGATTTACAGGTATAAAATTATTTTGGGCCGAATTTAACGAAACAGTTACTTCATATAAGTAAAGCCTTGAATTTATCTGTACCATTAATTCTTGTTACATCTGAGTTGAGGTTCTCACAGCGGTGGTCATGAGTTCTATGTTCTGGGATATAGCGCCATGTAGTCCGTTGAAACTCAACAGACGTTTCGGAGGATAATGTCGCAGACATCATCAGGGCTGGAGACTAAGCCAAGCAGGGAACCAACATGACGCGCGCCACAAGCAATGTTTGCTGGTTTCCTGCTTGACTTACTCTGAAACCGTGAAGATGGAGGCGATATGATCCTCCGAAACGTCGATTGACTTTAAATGTACTACACACAGTTATATCCCAAAAGACAGAATTCTGCAAATTATATTAGTTCTTAGTTGCTCCTAATAAAGATAAAATTTAAGATTTATTTGCTTTCTCCACCGAACAGGTTAATGCAGCGCTACAGCGTCCAATTCTTATTCGCTGTGGTGCAGGGGTGGGTGGACAGTATTAAAATGGATCTTAGAGAGATAGGATGGGATGGTATGGATTGAATTGATCTGGCTCAGGATAGGGACCAGTGGAGGGCTCTTGTGAACACGGTAATGAACCTTCGGGTTCCATAAAATGATGGGATTTTCTTGAGTAGCTGCAGAATTGGCGGCTCCCCCAGAAAGGCTCAGCTCCACGGGTAAGTGGTGCAGGGATCGAATTTCGTTCCGGGACTCAACTGTCCGGTTTCTGGTTTTTCCCCTTTACCTCATTCACTGTCGCTAGAGTAGCCGATATTCACAATGACCATCTCCTTTCAAATCCTGCCCTGCGCAACAAATATATTCATGTGATCTACTGTTGTTGAAAGTGCGTTATGAAACAATCAGCTTATCAATGTGAGATTTGAGGTTCTTACGCCCAGGTCTTCTGGAATGTGACAGCAAGATATCGGAGGAACCAGCTTCTGCTCTAAATATGAAGTCAGCAGATCCCTCCGAAACGTTTATAACGTTCTACAAAACTACACGGAGGCACATACTATAAAACGTGAACGTCTGAGGTCTGAGTGCATTTCCACTAACGAATTAACACCTTTCATTCATAAAATCTCACCTGGCTAAGAAATTCCGTGCTTCAGGTGCCAGGTTCATAGCCCTGTTTACAAAAGGCAACCACTGTACCCTATCCTGAATTTTATAGACTCCACTGGTATTTATTTTAGATCCCTAAATCCATTCAAAAGTCTCCGAAGTGGTCACTTTCTTCTGGTGTTCCTATTTAAAATTTTGTGTGCTTTTATCATGTCCAATACGCTTGATACAGGAACAACTTCTCACATACCTTGACTTAATAATCAAAATATTATGCATGCTTGCTGAAAAATACAAATTATAAAGCTCTTCGTTATATATTCTGTCAGTTTCCCTGTTAGCTCATGATGAGATGCCAGACATTTGTACTCGACGTTCTGTTGTGTTCCTTCGGTGGGAGGGAGGGATCAGTTATGCTCAGAAGAAACATGTTTCATGAACATTTTACTCTTTAAATTTTCTATTGGATAAAAGCTAGAAGAGAAGAGACTACTTGGAAGATCTGGACATAGATGGGTGTATAATAGTAGAGGGGATCTCATGGATATAAGTTGAGAGGCTTTGGGACTGGATTCGGTAGTACAACTTAACTAATACCTCGCTTTTGTGGAAGCGGCAATGAACCATTGAGTTCTATAAAAGTTGGGAATATCTGAAGAGTACCACGTATATTAGTTTCTAGAGAAGGGTTCTGTTTCATGGTTTGTAAAAATAAAAGTGAAAATACGAACTCAAACGTCTCTGTAATGAAAAAAAGAATGAAATGTATTCTGTCTCAAAATATCTCCTAAGAGAATCCACTGGCTTGCATTGCTGTTCCCTGCATTTATTCTGCTCTCAATGCCAAAGGCTGAGGCAAAATATGACAAGCGTGGAACCACGAGAGGCATTTTACAGGCTTCACTTAGTTGCTTCGGCGTCCCACTGGATTACGTAATAATGCAGACATTTGCCTCAGCAGCCCAGTGAGCCTTTTTCCCATTGTCAGTTATCAGGTTCTCTTTCGGACACATGTTTTTACGTCATCAGAGCTTCATTAATCAACACGAAGCCGGTTGTAATTTCACATGCAGTATTTTGAGCATACAGTCTATTGAAATTTGCTTGCAGTATTTACTGCCTACAAGAAATGTTTTCCATTCCGATAAAAATTTAGTGATTGGTCTCGGGATGATTACAGAAATATTTCATATAAACTGAAATGTATCGACTAATTTTAGTAAAACTGCTCAGTATCAAATTTTATGGAAATCATCTCAACGGTTGTCGAGCTCCTACATGCGGGAAGAGAGACAAACGCCGAAATCAATGGACAAATTTTTAAAATTTCGCTTTTAAAGCATGAAGACAAAATACATTGAAAAGAAATTTACCTTGCAAGTTGTCGTAAGCAATATTGTTTCTGATTTTTGTTCGAAAAGTGCCTGGTTCAAATCTCGTCCAGGAATCCGACTATCACACTGAGAGTTTCATGGCCTTCCTCAGTCCCTCCAGGAAACTTTCGGGATAATTCCTTAAATTAGGTCATGACCGCTTCTTTTACATCCAGTACTGTCATCGGAGTTAATAACAGCTTCGATGACGACAGAACAAGTGGAACATATCTGCGTAAGATCCGTCAGTAAGTTGAAATAGATTTTGTTACGCCTAAGATTGGGGGCACGCGGTAGCGTAGTTGGTTGAGGCACTATGCTACAGGCTGGAAAGTCGCGGGTCTGATTAAACATTTCACTGGATTTTGTTTTTTTCACTTTACCTAATACTTCCAACCGCAATATGGCCCTGAGTTCGACTCAGCCTCTAACAGAAATGAGTACTTGGAGTCTTTCTTGGGTGCAAAGGGCGGCTGGCGCGTAAAGCTGACAACCTTACCGTCATCTGTGAGCCGACTGTCTAGAAAATGTACTCTCATGATCCTTTCACCTACACGTAGGTCTCACAAATAATGTCTTACTTTGAAGTTTATATTTAAATTAATTGGTACATAGAGAGTTATGTTACTGCATGGCGCTCAAGTTCGACACCTCACAGCTATCCCACCCAGGTTTGCAGGAGCTGCGTATGACTCTGCCTGTACACGCCTGCTCGTGGGATAAATTGAATGTCCCAGAAGTCGATCGATGTTTCCAAGTTTGTAGTGTCTTACTTAATCACTAAAACTACGTAGTTCTTTTCAAAACATAATCAAGTAATGAAAGGTGAAGGTAAACATGAAAGTGGATCAAAGACTTGAAAATAAAGACACATGGCCTCTAACAGAAATACGTACAAGGATTATTCTTTGGGGTAAAGGGCGGCCGGCGCGTAAGGCTGATAGCCTTACCGCCATCTGTGAGCCGATTGTCTACAAAATGTGGGGATCCCGACGTCTCACAACCCTATGGGTCTCCACGGCCTGTTACAAGGATAGTTTTACCTTTTCATATATCACGAATACACGTGTATCTAAAACATTGCCTATGGATGCAGATAACTGGGTAAAAAGCCCCAGGGAAGTTTCGGGAAGTTTGTTAGGTCCAGAGCGCTGCCAATAAGTGGTGCGAAGTAAAATGCTCTCGTCCCTATCGGGAATTGAACATCGGTCGCCCAGCAAAACACAAGTTTATCTCGTCTGTCATTGAAGTTTCTGCATTCATGTATTTCACTTTCACAGAACTCAAAGCGGCTTCTTCACTTCTGCCTTAATTTGATAAATAATTTTCATCAGCATTTCTGAAGTCCAGCCGGGAGAGCGTAGTAGTCATGACGACTGGCTATGTGCTGGACGACCGAGGTTCGGAGTTCGAGTCGCGGCAGGGTCAAGAATTTTCTCTTCTGCGTGTCATCCAGACCGGCTCTGTGGTCTCCGCGGGGGCAAAGCGGCCGAGGCGTGAAGTTGACCACTCACTAGTGCCGAGGTCAAGAAAATGTGAATCTATATATCCACTCACATACGCCTGCATGGCCTAGTGCTTACCTTACTTCAGGTCTGAACTCTCTAAAGCACAGTAATTACAATATGTACCGCCTCCTTTAGTTCTTAACTCGATGCATTTTCCCATAATTAAGATAGCAGGTCTATGAAACGGTATTCGAACCCGTGTCTTCAGGAAACGAAGCAGGAGAGCCAACTACTACACCGCGAGCCTTCGCCCCAGGCCTGCCACGTATCTGATGAGTGGCCAGAACATGAGAATGACCATTCACCTTCATCTACGGCCTCCACCCTCCCCACTCTTTACAGGAATGACCTTGTCTTGATTTCAGAATTACAGCAGACGGAGCGTGAAGCTCCATCTCCACGTCTGCTAAATAAGCTGTATATATGACAGACTTTTCTTTCGGTCGTCTCACTACTACTTGAGTTGCTTATCCATGATTTTCAGATGTGTTTACGTAGCTTTGATTAGACAGGCGTTTCGAAAATGTGGCACAGTTCAGATATTTGGGAATAAAGATAACAGATCAAAACCTGATTCAGGAGGAAATTAAGATCAGATTGAACTCGGGAAATGCTTGCTGCCATTCAGTCCAGAACCTTTTGTCTTCTCGTCTGCTGTCCAGAAACATAAAATTTAGAATATATAAAACTATAATCTTGCCTGTGGTTCTGTATGAGTGTGAAACTTGGTCTCTGATATTAAGGGAGGTACATAGACTGAGGGTGTTTGAGAACAGGGTGCTGAGGAGAATATTTGGACCGAAGAGAGATGAAGCGATAGAAGGTTGGAGAAAACTACATAATGAGGAACTTCATAACTTGTACTCCTCTCCAAGTATAATTACAATGATCAAGTTAAGGAGGATGAAATGGGCAGGGCATATAGCACGAATGGGGCAGAAGAGGAATGCATATGGGATATTGGTGGGAAAGCCAGGTGGAAAGAGACCACTGGGAAGACCAAGGCGTAGGTGAGTGTACAATATTAAAACAGATCTTAGAGAGACAGGATGAGATGGTATGGATTGGATTGATCTGGCTCAATATAGGGACTAGCGGAGGGCTCTTGTGAACACGGTAATGAACCTTCGGGTTCCATAAAATGCTGGGAAGTTCTTGAGTGCTGCAGAATTGGTAGCTTCTTAAGAAGGGTTCAGCTCCATGAGTGAATGTGCTTCGATTAGTGGGTTACTATGGATGATGAAATGTGAAGGACGTGCAACAAAGCAATCGTGAAGTGTTTTGACGTAAACCATGAATAGTCTCGGCTAAGATGGCCCACCTGGACCTCTTCAATAAAACCAATGAAACTCGGTTACAGGAGCATCTTGTAATACGAGTAAACACATCCTGATCAGACTTTTGCGCCCTCTGCTTCCTATCTTAAGAGTATCGCAAGGTGGGGGGGGGGGCGGTGACCATGAACCTGACCTCGCAGCCGCGCCTACAGTCGATGTTTGGAACGTGGGGTCTCCGCATCGCGACGCGCCTTCGTGGCGGGACTGCTACGCACACAGGAAGAACTTCATTCTTTGCTTTTGAAATACGGGTTTTGCCTGTGCGTAAATACCTTGTAAAGGTAACGGTTCATTTTTACGCTCTTAAGGAACACCGGTTATGTAAATATGCACCACCTAATGTAATATTAAAAATATCTACATTCTGCCCACAGAGGGTATTTATGTTTTTCTTACATTTCTAAGAAAAATATTATTGACTGTCACACTTAACATTTTTAACCAACGATTTTTATAATGAGAATAAAGAGTATTTTCTCTGAAAGCAAAAACTTAATTTTAAATAATATTCACATGAATATGCTTCAGGGAGGTGGGTTCGAATGCCTCCACCGTAGCCCTGCGAGTCGTAGGAGGCGACGAAAGGGGAACCCAGTGCCTGGAGGTGTAACTGGGCCACCCTGTCCCTGAGGAATATAAATAGAGGGACCTGGCCCTCCAGATTGAGGGAGGGAGGTCTCGAATCAGAGTCATGGGTCCCTCTGTACTCGTCAGAGAGGATGTTACATAAGGACTATGACCGCAAGTGTTCAGTTAAAGAAAAAATTCTGGTCGTGAGTCTCAAGGGGTTTGTCACCAAGACGAACTGATTGGCGATAAACCGCCAGTCGTAAAGTAAGTCTTATTCTGACTCCATACTTCTGAGGACGAACTATGCTTGCCTTAATAAAGTAGGAACTTTAAAACAATATTAAATACGACAATTTTTCCATCGGATGCGCCTTGTTTTTATTCTCAGTTAATACAAGGAATAGAACTGAAAAAATCATAGCGGTCGCGCTAAGGCACAAAATGTCTTCGCCGCTGAATCACTGGGATCGTAGGCTCGAATCCGACTGGAGATACGGGCGTGCGCGTGCGTATATTCTGTGTTTGTGTTGTCCTGTGTAGGCAGCGGCCTTGCGATTGGCTGATCACCAGTACAAGGAGTCATATCTAATGTCTGTAAGCGCCATAATTTCAAAATTAATTAATTTTGAGTGGGAAGAGGGCCGAGAGCATAATCCGTCAAGGAAGAAGAAGAAGAACTGAAAAGTAGCTGTCATTTCAAGCTGTGTGAAGGAGTGCCACACCCGTCCACGCGCTTAGTACTGAGGTTCACAGTCGCAAATGAATATAGTCTCTACTTATTTGCCCAATTTTCTTTCAGCTTTACAATATCGGTAGACACAGCGGCAACACACATTCGGAAGGAACGCGACTGAACTCATGCCTTCATGGTTCCCCTAGATGCCGTGATGGGACGTTAGCAAATCCCTCTCCTCAGCCTCTTATATCACTTTTATGCTAGATAAACTTCAGTAATTGCCAGATCAACAGAATAACCGTCGACATTTCTCCCTACGTACGACAGTTATGGAACATAACGGGCGGTGCCATAACTCACGCGGTTAGTCGCTGGCTTCCCACCACGGCGTCTCGGTTTCGAGCACAGGTCAGGTCATGTGGGATTTGTGACCGACAAAGTGGCACTGCGGCAGGTTTTATCCCAGTACTTCGGTTTCCCTTGCCAATTCTCATTCCACCGACTGCTTCAGACTCATCATCTATAAACCGGGGAAGTCGGCATCGTTGGTTCGAATCCCATTCAGGGCACGGATGTTTAGTTTGTGTGTGTGCGCGTTTCTCTGTGTTTGTGTACATGTAGAGGCCTTGCGACGAGCTGATCACCCGCCCAAGGGGTTCTACCGAATGTCTAAGATCTAGTAAACCGAAGTGAAGTGGAGAATTTCACGGAGGTAGGCAAAGGCCTAAATTGAGGCTGTAGCGCCAAAAGAAAAAATGTAAGATGTAATACATGAAAACGGTTTATTACGATTATCTTTTAGAGTTAGTATGAAACTTTATTTCTATTAACAATGTACATCGATATTGGTTAGCCTAGTATTTTGCATTCACGGTCTCATATGTTAAATTATATTTTATGATAATTAATGGTTGTTATGCACAAAAAATGATTCAGGATTAACGTTAAAAACGTTATACACGTGACAGTACTGCGACATCCACTAAATAGAGGAATTGAATTAGCCGCATTTGTTACAAACAAATGGTCATAACTCCTAAACCATAAGCCATGGACCAAACCGGATTGCCTTCTTGAGAAGCTTGCCTTTATTAACGTGTTTCACTTCAGTATGTCCCGACCCATCTCTTACGGTTAGGCCGTAGCAGGCGGTTGAAAATCTGTAAAAATAGGAAAATTATTACAAGTTTTCTGTAATTGTTTAAACAGGGTACAATTTTATTTTATGATTAAAATAAACACCATTTTGGGTAGATCAGTCTTTATTCTTTCATTTACGTATAACGTTTAACATAAGATACACCACAGGTCTTGAGTTATGAGCAGTTAAGTAAGAGGTTGCACAAGCGTTATGCTCAGACTCACAGTTCCATCCATTTGCACTCTCGCATAATAAAGTTTTCAACGTAAAATCGATAATATTTCAGCACGTATACATGATATTCCGCTATGTTACTGCGATAATATATCCATTCACATTTTTATCCATTATTTATACGAACTACGTTAACTGAATACGCTATGATGTGTTTGTGTTTGCACACGTGTCCGCATGTCAATATGCCAGTATTGAGTTTCCGTGACTCTTATAAAGTTATGATGTCAGCAATAAAATGCATTAGTAGGCCTGACAAGGAATATGCAGGCCAATGAACATAGCTTTAAAAATGTAAGTTAGGAAAGAGAAATTACATGAAATGACAGACTGCACTTTCATACTGAAGTAAATTTAGGTTCGGGAGAACACAAAGGTGTCAGTGAAACGGAAACACTTATAAGAATTGCCGTCAAGAGATCTAAAAGATTACACATCAGAGAAGGATAAAACGAAGCCTTTATAAAAAGAACGAAGCGTTTACTCGATTAACGGAAGAATAGACGACTACAAAATAAAAAATGATTGGTCCATTCAGTGCTCGTTGCCTAGTATCAGGTCAAATTCAGAGTTACTATACGACTGGCGGTTTGCCGTCAATCAGTTCGTCTTGGCGTCACCCGTTTGAGACTCACGACCAGAGATCCTTTTCTTTTCAACTGAGCCAACTGAGGAGAACATTGGTTTGCTCTGAGTACGTATTTATAGTAATATGTGGGGACAGGATGGATGGAAGTTTTTGCTTCTGAGAAGAACTTCTAGACCCAAGAGAGAGGAAGAAAGAGAAGGACAGAGAAAGTTATATTTTTAGTAGATTCAGGTCATGTTATTGAGTGACCCACTTAGAAACGAACTCCATGAGGCAGAGCTTGAGAAGCTGATAGTCGCTAAGGTGGTCAAGAATTGTTTCGCGTTTCGTGGAGGCCGAAGGAGCACTGTCGCTTTCACAAGAGCCAGTCACTACTTCCTGTCCTGAAGCAGTTCAGCCCAGTCCACATTAGTTCTTTAAGATCCATTTTAATATTACTGAGTCACCTAAACAAATTTCTTGCAGCGGATTTTTTCTTCAAATTTTCAGATTAAATTTTTGTATGCTTTCTTTATTTCCCCAGTGTGTGCTAAATATGTAGCTCAGCTTCTTTTCATATGGTCATTCTAATAATATTTTTCGGGTAGTTCCTTATCATGAAATTCTCTTGAACATTTTTGCCTAAGTCTCTCTTTGGTCCAGGTAGATTTGCCTCTCAAATTCTCTCAGCCTGCAGACCTATTTCCCCCTTTAGATGTGACATCAAATTTCAGGCCCTTTTAAAATAAGACAAAACTTAAGATAATCCAATCAAAGGTGAGATTTGCAGAAACATGGAATTAGCAGGAATATCAGAAGTCAGAAATGCACACAAAATCGAGGTCGCAAACCGGAAGGGAAAAGAACACTTCAGGGACCCGGGTACAAATATAAACGAGAACTGGATTCAGCTGGCTCATTGGAGGATAAAATGGGGGACTTCTGCGAGCCCGATAGCATTCTGGTTCGATAAGAGGCAAATAATTTCTTGACCAACTTAGCAGTTATATTACTTTTAACAAGGAAGGTCCTGAATAATGAAGTCGGTAGGAGGTAACACTGAGAAGTTCCGTGGGCCACAGGTTGCCGCCAAAGGTGTGGGTCGCAAAGCAACTTCTTTTTATTGTAGAAAAAATATTGTAAATACGAAAAAGGCCTCGACAATGCCCATCCGGCCTAGCAAACCAGCGCTTGACTGCAGTATCCTGCTGCCATCTGAGTAATTACCTTGGATTCGAGGCGTCTGACGGCCGAAGCCAGGTCTTGTATCACCGTCACTCTACCACAAATCCAGATGAATGAAGTTAACTTCGCCTAACGCAGCCCTACGCTGAGAGGTGTAACTTAATCCGGCAAACAAACCCCCATTTTCAAGTTGACAACTGAATCCATACATGACACTGTCCGAGATTCGTCCCTTCCTGCAGACGCCAGATTGTGTGAACTTCTAAGGGCTCTGACATTCACGTCACAGCACCGAGACGCAGGGTCTGCAGAACTACATCTCTAGCCTCCGTTGGACAATTTGTGAACAATCCAGCAGAAGGGAGGGGGTGCGAAACATTTTGGACCAAAATCAATTTCTTGCTTCCCTGGTAGCTCCCTAGCATCCGGGATAGCGTAGTCGGTACAGCGACTGGGTACGGGCTGAAAGACCGAAGGGTCGGGGTTCGAGTCCCGGTATAGTAAAGAATTTCCTATTCTCCACGTCGTCCAGGCCGGCTCTGGGGCTCACCCAGCCTCCTAGCTAATGGGTACCCAGGGATCTTTCCCCGGGGGTAAAGCGGCAAGGATTTGAAGCTGACCACTCACTTCAAAATAATGCAGAGGTCAAGGAAACGTGAGCCTATACATCCACTCCCCCATACGTCTTCATGGCGTGCTGCTTGATTAGTTAAGTACAGGGTAAAATTTACCTTTACGTGGCAGTTCCAAAAACAATGTCTAGTTTTCACTGCGCCTCGACAAGAGGCAAATGGCGCGACAACAAAGGAAATCTCGCAAGCTCTCCACAGGCCAGGCCAGTGTCTCTCAGCCCTTCAGCCCTTCAGTGGGGCCCACACTCTCGCGGTATTCATTTCCTTGCCGTTCTACTCGAAACAGAACAGAGGACACAAATATCTCCTTTTCAAATATTTCCATTTGTAGTTTCATTAAACTGAAATATGATAACATGTTATAACAAAATATTGATTTAAAAAAACTTCATACAGAGGCTTATTTTATATTATATAGTCATTCTTTTCTCCGAGGTGTCGCGGCCCATTCTGCTAAACTCGCGGCACACAGGTTGAGAACCACCAGCACAGAGCAATGTTCTGGAGCTTTCTCTCTCGCCTTGCCTCCAGATATTAAAGATAAGCTTAGTTTAACGATCTGGCATACGGTAAGCCTTACGGAGAGAATGTACTGGACACGAAATGTTGGTTGCATTCCTGCCTACAATTTCCGTTCGGATTATTTTGTTGCCAGTAAGTAAAGCGAACTGCGACAGAGGCGCGCGCAGAGGCATGCGTGTCTTCATATAACGGGCCGGTTATTTTTGATAGGTTTTACCCGAAATTGGAATATATTTAAAATTCTAATAAAACGTCACGATTTCAATTTTCGTTAACTATCGGTTCAGCTGTTCCCGAGTTGTTTCAAGCGTGGACAGAGAGATAGACGGACGGAGCGATTTCAATAAGCGCTCCGCTGGGTTGAGAAGGCGTCTAAAAACCGAGCGACTTATCTCAGGCTGTAACGCTTCTGACATATTCTGAGGGTGCCTTATTCGAATTTCGGCCGAGACATTTTCTATACTGACTAAGGATCATCATGGCCGCGCCATAGCTCAAGCGGTTAGTCGCTGGCTTCCCACCGCGGCGGCCCGGATTCAAACCCAGGTCTGGTCAAGTGGGATTTGTGGTGGACAAAGTGGCGCTGGGGCAGGTTTTCTCCGAGTACTTCGGTTTCCCCTGCCAATCTTCATTCCACCAATTTTTCCATTATCATAATCACCCGTGGCAGGCTACAATAGGCCAATCAGTGGCCACCGTGCCGAGTGGACCCAACTGGACTCAACCCCCCCCCCCACTAAGCGAATTAAAAGAAAAAAGGATCATCATGGCGATGCTCAGTTCCTACTGGCAAATGCCAGGATGTTCCATTAAAATCAGGCCACGACCACTTCCATGTAAATACTTTCCAGTTCGTAATTCACAAACATTCAATCATTTTAACGCCGTGTAGTTATTAAATAGACTACAAATAAAAGACTAAACAATTTTAAGTAAGACTGTTTGCGGAGCGCCCATTCTATACCGGGAACAACACGGCAGGAGCACAAACTTTACCGCTCACGAATATTTAGTGCCGAGAACGCAAGAGCTATACCTGCAGCGACGAAACGTCGTGGTAAGGTGCTTATTAAGCACAGGGACGGCCTATCGGAGTTACAGCGCCCGTAGCGTGAAACTCCATCTCCACATCTGCTATATATGCAGTATGCACGAGAGGCTTTTCTTTCAATTGATTCATCGATCAATGATTGAGTTACTTATCGTTGGTTTTTCAACTGCAGGAGTTCTGTAACTTCGATTAGTGGGGTGATTATGGATGATGAATTGGAAAGTATGTGGAACGAAATGGTCGTGGCATATTTTAAAGTAGAAGTCCATGTTCCTGGATGGACTGAAGAAAACCATGAACAATCTCATATAAGATGGCCGATACGGGAACTCTCGAATAAAATACGTGAAATTCGGCTGGAGGAGTATCTTGTAAAAGTTGCATCCTGACCAGCCCTCGTGCGATCCCCGCCTCCTGTCTCATCCTACCTTGGGGTTGGGGGGGTGACCATGAACCTGACCTCTCAGCACCATCTACAGTCGATATTTAGAAACTGTGGTCTCCGCGTCGAGACTGTTACGCACACAGGTGGAACTTCACGCTTTGCGTTTGAAATACGGGTTTTTTTCTATGTGTAAACACCTTGTAAAGGAATTGTTTCGTTTTTACAGCATACGTGGTAATGGTCATGTATTGTATGCACCACTTAATTTAACATTAAAGAAGCGTGGATTTTGCTCACAGAGCGTATTTACATATCGTAAAATACTCACAACAAATACCGATTATTTTCCTAAATGTAGTTGAAATGCTGTAGTAATTGAATTTGTAAATATTTTCTAATTTAATTTAAGGTTTCAGAAGTTTATTAGGCACTACAAAAGGCC